AATCATTTTCCTCGACTCATCATCTAGAGCATCCTCTCTTGCTACAGCCATCCTATACTCCCAGTCAATAATAAACACAGCAGCTGAAATACTTGAAACCAAGCCTCTTTCCTCATCAAGTGCCCTTAAGCAAAAGAAACTACCCTCAACTATTCCAAGAGCAAAACAAGCCATATCAACCACATTTGCAGGATTCTTACTAGCTAACCCAAGGCAATTCTCTTCAGGATCAAACAAAGCACCAGCCTGCTTAACAGAACTGAAAGATGAATCCATAATAAAAGAATTTAGCTTTCTCAAAACCTCCTTGAATATCAGGACCATTGACTTCCTGGAGACAAATGAATCTAGATTGCCTTCGGTTGCACCCCCAAGAACAGAACTACAGATGGTACAAACAATAAGAATCAAAGCACAGAAATATAAATGCATAGATCAGAAAAATATTTATGGACTCAATATGAGACAATTCTCCATATTTATCAAATAATCAGCCTACTCTTTGTCAATGTTTAAGCAAGAATTTTAGGTCCGTCTACATCCTCAAAATCATTAATTTTGTTTCAAGGGTATTCAAGAAAGCAAATAACAGCTATAATTTTCTAAGAAAAATGGCAGGTCATGTCAGTCATTCACAGATGTCATGGTATGGGATGATGTAGTAGAACAATAAAGCGTATTGACCATCCTTATGGAACCATTTTACTTGTATTCTACAAAGGTTTTTTTTGCCAACAGTATAGCAATAAATTAACAATCTTCGAGGTAAATATTGATACTTGCTCACCAATTCCTGAAATTCAAATTGCAGAGGATAAAACACGTCATGCTTTTGCATTCACATACCACAGAAACTGTGCATCAGAAGTTCCAAAAGGAGGAAGGGAAGAGGCAACAGAAACAGCAGTTGCTTCAAGAAGCTCATGATGCCAATGATCTGGGACAGAACCTAGCCGATGAAAAGAACCGTCTCCCACTTTCCTCATCTCATTTCTAGCCTTCTCAAAAAGCATTGCCAACGAAGCTAAGTGATTTGAGTCAATGGAACCTGAGCCCTTAAAATTTACCAAATCAATGGCATATGTGATTATAGCATGCCACTGCTCATAGAAACATTCATCATCAAGCAATTCAAGCAACAGATCTAGTCGAGCACTGGTAATACTATCATGTCCATGCAAACACCAAGGAACAAATTTTTCCTTGTAAATTTGAAGAAAATACTCCAGCATCATTTCACCATCCTTATTGCAGGGAGGACCACAGAAAGGTGCATTGCTGCTGGAAAAAATCACTTGGGTAACCTTTCGTGCTCCAAATATTGAAACTGAAGTAGACAATAGCCTCACACCATCTACTGAATCCTGTGGTGGAGGAAAATCCAAATGTGAATGTTCAAATTAAAGCATGTGTAGATAAGAGACAATGCCATAGGCACATGAAAAGATGCCCTGTTTCTTCAACTTAAGAATTGGATGACATAGAATTATCATGAAAGAGATGAAAGGACAGCAGCAGAGCAAGACAAATGAAACACTGGGCTGGTTTCCCAACTAAACTAGAATTGTTTTGGTCATTCCACTTTCAGATGAAACAACACTTTCCATTTAAAATTTTCACTTATATTCAGAAACGAAAAACAAAGATGACAGAAAAACGGAAGTGCAATGAAAATCGTAATAAAGACAGTACATTTTAGGGAGTCTATGGGTACCGAGATTCGGGAATTGATTTCTCATCCAGCTAACAATGGCGTTTAAAAAGATTAAAGATACTTCAGGTGCCAAAGACACAAGGAGGTAAAAAAAAAACCTTAGTTTCAATCAACCAAGAACACTATGTAAAAACAATTTGCCTCTAGTATGATTACAACCAGCAGCAACAAGTTACTAGTTTTTCATAAACAACTAGTTTAGGATGATGTATGTACAGCATGGGGGCAGTTATAGCCATCCATCCCATCCTTCATGCATTTACATAGTAACATAAATAGCACAGATAAGCATGATTGAGCAACTTATACCTGACAAACATAAGGTGTTCATGCAATGGTAACTTACAAGTGATCTGACCAACGAGAAATACTTAGCCAACATCGGTCCGACCAAATGAAGCAAAGGCCAAGATTCACCCTTTTGCTTTGCATGTAGATCCACTAAGAAAAGAAATGATATAATTGGCTCTATATTCAATGTTGGCTGTTCTGTGGTCACTTTTTTTCTGAAGCAATCTCTCACAAGCTTCCTGAAACGCCACACAAAAGAAAGAGAGAAGGTTCTCTTCCAGCGAATAAATGCCAGAAAGAATTTCAACAATGCACTTTCCCAACTCCTGAAGATAACTTAGTGAATACTTGATGTTCTGCATTTCTGCTGTCTTCCCATGGAGAGGCTGATCACTATCCTGGTCTTTTGAGCTCACAAATGACAGTTAGTCTTGCCACAGAAGCTTCACAAGGATATCATTAATAAGGGTGATCCGAAAATGAGAGATGGAATCAACACTATCACAAAATCTGGTAAGTTGAGAAAATATGAGTTGCATTCCAAATAAAAAATAATAATACAAGTAGCAAGAATTGAGAACATCTGATCCGCTACACAAAAAGGGCCACAAAGTAAAAACTCTATTAACTCGTACCTAGAAGCATTACATAATCCCCAAAAAAAAACACTCTCTAAATGCCCTGAAAAATGCTAGCCGATCTGCATTCAGAGAATGAACTGGATTCCTTCCAGCCCATAGGTTAAGGAAAAACTCAAGAAAACATTTGTCTCCAGAAAATGCTTTAGAAGGAATAGTATCTAAGAATAGAACCAGTACTGGATAAGAAACTTGCTGAGATCCAAAGCATCCATTCCTGATAAAAGACCAGAACCAGTTAAATACAGATTTTTGAACATTCAATGTAGTCCAACTGTCAGGAAATCTCTTTGAAAATAGCAATATTGCATCCCACATTGAAGAATGGCAAGCAGGATTTTTTCCCTGGAAAGCACCAAGAACAGCTGTAGCAATAGTTTTCATATTTCCTTGATCAAAAGCCTGAGGAATGTTTTTTATGTAACTTCGTAAGACTGTGTATGTAGCTGACCGAACAGCAGGGCTTTGAGACTTCAAAAACTCAAGAAAATATTTATGAGCAGAAAAGAGTTTTTCTGCAAAAGAAATTGCAGTCGCCTTAGCCTTAGAAGCATGTTTTGGTTCAGCAGATATATTTTCAAAACCAGGTCTTTCTATTTGCACAGAGACCAAAACATCAAGAAGTGTGGCCAAAGCCAGCAATGAAGAAGATATCACCTGAAATTAAACAGAAATGAGGAAAATTACAAAATATTTCAGGAAGACATGATAAAGAAACCCAAGCAACAATATAATAGGTTTGGTAATGCTCCTCAAGTAGTGATTTCAGAATATATCAAACATTGTACAGGTTTATGTTCGAAAAATACATTGAAGATTAGCATGAACTGTACATGTAATTCCATATCAAAAATTATTTGTAAATGTAATTGATACCCTCATACAAGCATTTTTGCACAAATAAAAATATAAGGTGCATGTGCTGTTAGATATCCTCAAGGATTGGAGAGTGTTGGAGGTGGTTAAGAAAAATTAAGGACATTGATTTTCCACTCGGTAGCTCCCCAAAATCCATATTATTATAGATTTCCAAAATAAGTAATGCCACTCAGCCAAGAATCAAATGAACAGAAAACTTTTAGCATAAAAATAACCAAAAAAAGAGCTTACAATGAGATACTTATTGCAACTGAAAAGGTTAAGTAATATGGAGTTCAACACTTGTCCCTAAGAAAACCATATCCAGAACAGATCTATGAATACCTGCTGGTGCATCTCTTGCAACTAATCCAAAGCAACGGCTTTATCTTACAAATTTTGTGGAGTATGCTTCAAATTTTCTTCCAAATACATGAAAACGTCATTTGTGTATAAGTTTAAATCATCTAATCTGTTTTCCTGAGCAGGGAAGGCAGCCTGTTGTTTAAAACCAAATGGTTAAATAAAGAAAACCAACCGGTCAAAGCCCATCGCATCCTAGCATATTAACATGTTCACAAGTTACAACTAAACTACATGCATTATGCATATACTAGCAGTTTATAGGATGCCACGAGGATTGAACCTTCAGAAAACATGAATTTGATTCAAACCTGCAATGAACGCTTATAGGGATGGCAAAAAAACCCGAACCCGACGGGGAAAACCGAAAACCGAATTAAACGGGTCGGGTTCGGGGATGATAAACGGGGACGGGGACGGGGAAAACCCATTTATTTTAAACGGGGACGGGGACGGGTTTGGTAATCCCCGCCCCGATTACCCGATTACCCACCCCGATACCCGACCCAATAAATATTAAAAATAATTATTTATATATATATATAATATTAATAAATTTAATTTAAATAAAAAATATATATTTAATTTAAATATATATATATACCCGGCCCGATTCCCGGCCCAATACCGACCCAATACCCGACCCAATACCCGTTTAAATAACCGTTTGTGCTAAACGGGGATACCCGTTTCCCCGCGGTTTTCCCCGATTACCCGACGGGGATCCCCGTTTAAATCCCCGCGGTTTTTTAAACGGGGACGGGACAGGGGGACCAATACCCGGCCCGAACCCGGCCCGTTGCCATCCCTAAACGCTTAGCAGGTTGGGAAACTTCAGCACTTGGATCAAATTGAGAGAACCACCGTAGTCCCATCAAGGACTTCAAATGCGGCGCCAAATCTTTTCTGAGAAAACATGCCATCAAATTTAGACAACCAAGTTTTTATTGCTTAACAAAATAAGGTGAATGATTCTGCTAAGAACTGTTAAGGAAAAAAACAATTCCTTTTTTCTTTGTTCTTTCATCTTCAATACGTCACACCTCTTCTGACTCAATAGGCATGATATTTCTAAATAAATAACGTATATAACTGTATCAGTTTCTAATCTTCCATGAAAATCATTTTTCAAAACATTGTTGTTTGAGCTTTGTATTTGTTTCCAAATTATCAAACAAAATACTCAAACAAATAAGCATCACAGAGACCAAAATTTGTGGACTTCCAACATTCAGTGGATCAAGCCTTCATGATTGATCCTTAATATTCTTCACTACAACGTAATCATTAAGTTGTCATACACAAGAAGGTAAGAAAACAATATTCAATAGCCAAAAAAGGGGGTGGGAGAAATTCAAACCCAACAGCAGTGACAAGATTAGTCATTCTTTCATGAGTAGCTCGCCGAACCTCTCGATTATAGTCCAGCAGTAGCGTCTTGTATTCAAATGCCTGTATGAGGGAGAGCATAGCAATACTTGAACACATGAACCAAGCTTAAGGGTTGAAAAACTGTTTGCATCAAAAGTACGGTTTAAATGTTTTTCTTTAATATCTAACAGAAGTCAAACAATCAACCAGTCTTTTAAGTTCAACAATATCAGAGTTTCATGTTCCTATGATTTCTGAGATCACATTTGGAGTAACTTGTTTTCAGTTCTAATATTTTAGACTTCGATACGTACTAACCAATTTCAGAAACATTTTCATGTAGACCTCTTTGTTCTTTGTTCTTCTCCTCATGAAGGTGAAGTTCAAAATTTTCACCATGCCAACACTAGGAACTTATAGAAACTAGGTTTTTGAGTGCAATTCTGTTGATGCATCTACAATGAAAACTAAAAAGAAAAGACTAAAATCTCACCCATTGTGGAATGATAGGAACTATTTCCTTTCCAGACTTCTGCTTGAGCAAAGCAGACAAAGATGCCAGAGCTTTAAGCTGTTAATGAACAAGAAGTTGGTCAGGACATGTAAATTGAGCAGGTTATAAGTCATAACTTAGCAAAAAAAGGATTTCCCTCAATCATGAAGATATACTCAATTGCATATTAAATGAAAAATGTGATCACATTAGTCGAAGCTTGGGAGCTAAAGCTGAAAATATGATAATCGAAAAACTAAGGCATGTCAAGTGTAACTTGAAAAAAGTTTTAGAGTTCATCACAGGTATTGAGGGCTGTTTGATTCGGGGAATGATGTGGGATCCACATTCCCCTGAGAATGGAATCCACATTCCCATTTGGTTGGCGGTAATCTCATTCCTGTAATGTAAGATTATTAACAGTGGATTTTTTTGGATATATTATCGGAATGTATTACCTCCCTTCTCTTAGATATTGTTGGATTACCGACGTTTTGAACTAAAATGCCCTTAAATTTTTTTTCTTTAAAAAATATCCTTCTTTTGTCATTAAATAATAAAAATTCTACGAAGGTTAAATTACAAATTTATCTTTAAGTTATTTTAGATTTATAAAAAAAAAGTATATAATTAAAATTTTATATAAAGTTTAAGGGTTAAAATAAAATTTTAACCTTTCATTCAACTTTTTATATTTTCAATTTTATAAAAAAAATTATATAAATTTTAAATTTAAATTTTTAAAGAAAATATATAAATATCTTATATTAATATTATAGTAGAATAAACTTGTTAAAAAAATAAATATATAATAAAAATAATTTGATTAAATATATATTCTAATAATTTTTTATTCTTTAACCAAACACGATAATCTTATATTACTATTAAACCAACCAAACAAAAAATATAACATTCTCAGTAATCCAATTCTCCATTAATCTTTTACTACCACTGCCACCGTTAATTTACGTTCAGAACCAAATACACCAAAAAAAATATTACGTAATAGGATCCTTTCTTGCCAGCCTTTTTAAGTGTTGTGCCACTTCACTATCTATATCCTGCAATTGCAAACGATTCATGAAATTGGAAGAATAAATATCTGCTAACTTTATCGATTAAGATACAAAAGCTTTTAGCGGTAAAGAGGAACTGGATACCAAAAGAGGATTGGAATCTTCGGTGGAGAAAGTGGAATCAAGCCGGGAGCTACCGACGTAACCGCCAAATCCCACCGCATCGGCAGCCGAACTCGATGGCAATAGAGAAAAATGGCGAATTTTATGTAGAGAAAAATGAAGGAAAACCTGCTGCTTGAAGCGCGTGCCTTGCTCCTGGCTCCCTCACCCTTCTGTCTCCCCATTTTTGTGCACTTAAATTGAAAATGACGCCGTCGGCAGACGACGGAAGGTCTTGGTTTGCTAGCTGGGAAACAAGAGAAGAGAAAGTAGAAAGAGGAGGTAGCTGAATTGCCTATTGGGGAGTTCAAATATTTGGGGCTCTTTTACATGCCCTTTGCCTTGTCCCATACGATCAGAGGAAGGTTATATTAGTAATTATGAATATAAATTTTAGGCCACTTTCACTTTTACATTTAAAACATAAGCTTTCCAAAGAAAAAAAAATATTGTATAAAATATACAAATAATCCCTCACTGTAACGTATTATTTTGTTGAGTCTTTCGACTATTAAAAGCTAAAATGATCTCTTGACTATAAGACTATATTTTATTGAATCTCCTAATTATTATGAGATATAAAATAGTTACTCGATTATTTGTATATTCTATACTCATTCATTTCCGTTAAAACTTTGACAGTCGTCTGAGTTATATATTAATTTGTTAATTGTGATATGATAAAATCATATTTTAATGATGTCTATTGACATCGTTGTTGCTTTTAAGCACTGGTTCGACGACATAATGTTTCAAGTACTGGCTCGACGATTTAATGTAAATGGAGAGTTAATTCACAAAATATATCTAACAGCTTTAGGAACATATTTTACCATATCTCAGTAAACTGGCTATCATCTAGCTCAAATGATCGCTAATTTTTTTATGAAAAAAATGATGAATTTGAAATATATGAATAGTTGGATAACTATTTTATAACTTTTAATAGTTACGGACTTAACAAAATAATGTCTTATAATCTAAGGATCAGTTTGTAATTTTTAATAGTCGAGAGACATAATAAAATAATATCTTATAGTTTAGGGATCATTTATATACTTTACCCAAAATATTTTAATGTATTATAAGGTTAGTTATAGAAAAATCATATAAATTTTATTATTTTGTAAGAGGGGAGGGGAGGTTGTCTTAAGATCCAACTTAATATTAATATCCAATTAATATTAAATAATGTCTCTTATTACTATAAGTTTAATTCACATAAAAATAATAAAATATAATAATTTTAGAATAAGATTATAATATGATAAATATATAAAAATATTAAATTATATAAATTATTATATTTTCTAATATTTGTATGATTATACAAAGCATTGTTTAACTATAAATATAGAATAATTATAAAATTATAATAATTTATTTAATTAATGAGAATAATATATATTTTAAATGAAATTATAAAATTAATATCTAGATAATATTTAATTTCAGATATGATACTTTTTTGGTCAAATAGGATGAAGATGCATTTAACTAGAGCTAAGCAATGAAATTGAGAAAATTGAAAAATCAATCCGAATCAAACTATTTGGTTTAGTTTGGTTCGAGTTTTTTATATGAAAACTTTTTGAACCAAATAAAAAATAAAAGAAAATAAGTATCCAAAACAAATTTATTTTGAATTTATTGTAAGATAAATTTAAATAAATAAAATATTAAAACTAATAATGTTTTTCATAAATTTAAATTTATATATTTGCAATCAATTTAAGTTTTAAATTTACTTTTTTTTAGGTTGAGTTTGAAAAATAGGAAACAATTAAAAATCGTCGAATTAAATTGAATCGAATCGAAAACCGTGATTTTTATGCTATTCGATTTTGGTTATAGTTTCTATTTCTAAAATCCTGCAAAGTACATCTTAATTCAGATTTTAGTGAAAATCGAACCGAATACATCATTACGATAATTGATATGTATTATTAAAGGTACTCCTAAGTAAGAAACTTTGTCCTATATGACAAGACACATCATATCATTGTTTTCTGATTAATTGTTTATGAAATGCATGGATTGTTATTCGTACCTCCCATTAATTTTATAAAGAAACCACATAAACATAATTTTCTAAACACGAATTCCTTTTTTTTTTGTTACAAAAGAGGAAAAGTTGTATTAATAGAGATTAGAGCTTTTTCTCCAATTTTCCATGTCGAACTAGAGGGGTAGTTGAGCTTCAGCAGGCAGTCGAGCAAGGATGAAGATATCTGACGATGTCATGCGACCGAGATGGGTCATCACATCAGCAACGCATCTCTGTTTATGTGAGTAAAACTGGTGCTCCGCTATCGCTAGAGAAGAGAACAGATTCGGCTTGTAAGGGTCTGTTCAAAGGATGGAGTAGAAGAAGAAAAAATCTTGAAGACTTTACTACTGTCTATCTCAATCTCGATACGTCTAAAGCCTTGGTTCCAAACAAAATTCAAACCGTCAAAGAGAGCCCACAATTCGACATGAAGAGCCGAGCATTGGCCGACACTGCGATAGTACCCCAACATTCAGGTGCCATCTGAATCTCTGAAAACACCACCACCCGACGCTTCCATAGAAGAGAGGCTAACAGCTCCGTCTGTGTTCAATTTGATAGGTCTAGGAATTAGGGGACGCCAGGTTTGTCTCCAATTCATGTTCTTGACACTTGGGATGTTGGAAGTTCCCTTAGCTTGAATGTATTGAGCCTAGGAACGTGTCGACTAGATAATGGCCGAGGTAGACCAGATCTCACCACTGAAGACAAAACTACAACGTTGCTTCCAAAGTCTCCAAAGCAAAATTCTGAACAAGTTCCTCTATGAGTAAGCTTCATTCATCGACCCTGTAGAGCTATTTAAGTTATTATTCAGCCAATCCATGAGATAAGGAAAAGAAACTTCTTGTTAAGTTAGGAGGGTGATTTGAGTCCACAGCATCCGGGCAGTAGTGCAATCCCAGAGAATGTGAATGACCGTCTCGTCGCTATTCATGCACACCAGATAAGAAGTCATCCGTGAGATTGTGTCTTGCTCTTCCCACGTTAGTCATAAGTTTATTCTGGAGGATCAACTAGATAAAGTTCCTAACACGTTGAGGGTCATCAAAATTCCACGCCAAATTCCAGATCTTATTTTTCTCATCTCAATGGTCATGGTGTAAATTGTGGTAGGTAGGGTGGTCAGAATCTTCTCCTATTGAACGTATTTTTCCTGAAATCCAATTTTGTAACCCTACCAACAAACAAACCAATCTTAGTAAGAATTTTCCTATTGAACATGTATTCAGGCAAACCAGGGAAACGGATCCAAGCCATGACGGTACACTTAAGATGTGCTGAAGTTCCTAGTCCAGGGTTGAACAGTCAGGTACTGGTCGTAGATAATCCAAGATCCCTTGGCCAGGACTTTCTCGTAGTCGGAGTCATTTTGAAATCGAGCAATAAAATAACCATTCTTCAAATCCATAAGCGTGAAGGGTTTTGAGGGTCGCCAAAGAGCACAAATTTTATTTGTGAGAGCATAGAGGCCGATGTTACGACCTAAGAGCTCAAGACCACCGTTTTAGACATGCTTGCATTCATTAATATAGGCACGCTTAAAAAATTGTTTAGAAGGCATACTGAAACGAGACTTAGTGATGAGATCCTCATCCGTTAGATCAAGATCCTCACCCTCTTGACTTATTAGTGTTGGTATGATTCTTGTCGTTGGTTGAGCCAGCGAGAATCGAAGCGTAGGAAGGAGGGGTTTCCTCTGGTGCATCAACAACCATCTCTGAATCGTGGGTGTCTTTGGGGTCCGATGGTCTGATTTGTTCGGCCCTGGCTTCATCGGAGATTTTCGATTGGGCTTTGGGATCATTCGTTAAGGACATTTCAAAGAGAGAAAAAAATTGTGATAAAAAGGGAAATTAAATAAACAATCCCATTTAATTTTTTAAAATACGCATAAGTGTGGTTTTCTAATTGTGTGCTTTATTTAAAAATTAAAATTTTGGATGAAGTTAGACTCATTAAAACATGTTTTTTACCTTATAAATGTTGAGCTAACTTTCCTCCTTCATCACACCAAAGGAGCTTGGAAATTTTTTGAAAGAATAAGAAAGTATTTCGAGACTATATTCATTTGTTTATTTTGTGTTCAC